ATTTGTCACGTATTCATTTCATAGATTTCTACTTTCGTTTCAGTTTGAATATTTTGTTGACACGTGATTTTTTTAATTGTGTTCTGAAACCGTCTGCTTAAATAGCGATAAGAGTTATGCCCCTTTATTTTCAGAAAAAATGTCTGACAAGAAATTTTTTGAAATCCCATCACTGCTGTTTAGTATATTGAAATTAAAGATGGCAAAATAAAACTACATTTTTATGCTAAAATTTTCATCATGATAGCGACTCTTCAGGCATTTATTAAACAATGATTCAATTAACAATAGTCTATGACGTCACAATGTCATAGTTACAAGATAAAATTATTATACAGGCAAGGGTAGTTACTCCGTAGCCTACAGACTACAAATATTCAATCCCCCAACTTTCTTTATTTTATTTAATTTAATTATTCTCTTATTTAGTATTTCGGGTGGTACTTTTCAATCCCACAACTGTCTTTATTTTATTTAATTATTCTCTTATTTAGAATTTAGAATTAAGTTTCGGGTGGTACTTTTCAATAAAATAGCTTTCTTTTGCCTCCAAGAGGTGGTTGTTTTTGCTATTAAGTCTTTATAAAGGAAAAACACTAAATTTGCCCCCACCACCTACTTTAAGATGCTCACTGAGCGGAATCATCCTGTATTTTGGTTGAAGTATGTGCTGTCGATGGAGGTTCATTCTCAACCTAAGCATCATAGTTCAATTGGCAATTCGTTGCTTGTTTGACATAAAATGTATTATCATCATTAATTTTTATGGATGATTCCTCAATGATAATGTCACAGGTTTTACAATTTGAATTACCACATTTCTAAACTACTGCAGGTATTGAAGCGACTGAACCATATTTAGATGTTATAATCCTAGCTAGATTGGAAGGTTGCTTTAGTAGACTATTGATTATATTTGTTTTTCTCAATATTTTATCCATCGTTTGGCTATTTTTAAGGATATGGATGTAATTTTCAATGATAGATTTCCCATTTTCCTGTGACGGATTGAATGTATAGTAACTAAAGCAATGTTCCTTCTATCAGACTTTACAGGAACTTTAGGTTGTCTTAACACGCTTGATCCAGACTCAATGCTCTTTGGTTAGCATCGTCTATTAATTTGCCTGGATATCTTTGTTTTAATAAGAAACCTTTTAGTTCCTGTAGTCTCTGAACTTTTGACATCTTGATTGGACACAATTGTACAAATTCATCTAGCTAGTGTGATAGTGTGGAATTTTGGTGTTTTTAAAATTATATAATAGGTTTTAGTCTACACTGCACTACACTGACAGCAGCTTAATAAACAATAACAAACTTTCACTTTCATCTGATCTTTGAACCCTTATATTCATAGTCACTGAATGTTCATTCAGCTTCTGGACAGGTCTTTGTAACAACATCAGTGACTATCACCTCATTGGATACTTTTCCTAACAAACCCAACTTCCTGGGTTACAGGGTAACAATCAAAATCAGTCTAACTTAGGATTTTGAATGTGTCAGATGCATAAGATTATCTTCTAAATCTTAAACTTGTATTTTGCGCCAAAGTTTGTAAGTTGATACAGTTACTGAAGCTATTTTTGGTCAAGTCTTCATTGATCGAATTAAAGTATGTGATTTTGAATATCATTGGTATTGTCTGGGGATGTGGTGAATGCAAGATGTGTAAATTAGTTATTTCATATATTATTCTTTACATACACAGTAAAATTCATAAATTTATACATATTCTACAGCTCTTAAGCAATAAGTATAATCATTTAGTAATTAGGTTTGGTTTAAGTTTAGTTTTAGCATAGAATAATCATAGAACCATTTGTTTATATAGGATACCTTCTAGCTGCTGGAGTGTTATATGGTTGTGTTGTTTCAACACAGATCTTTAAAACCCCTTTCAGAGTATGTTATTTTATATATAGGCAGGGATAGAACTTTATTTGAAAACACACAAGCAAAATTTTGCTTGTTGATTTCAAATGTACAAGCAAAAATAGGATTTTGAAGAAATTCAAGGGGCAATTTTTTTCTTTAATGAAAATACTTTTATTATCTTTGGGTTACATGTACAAGTTATGTTATACATTGGAGTGTACAAATATTCCTTACAATTTCATTAAAAAGCTAATAGCAATGGCTAATAAAACACAATGAACACCCAAAACTTTCCTCAATACTAGAGCTGGGCGATATTCCTGGAATTATCGCAATATTTTATGAAATGTCAATACCTTCAGTTTATCATCTTTTAAATGTAAATAAACATGCATAAAAAGTTGGAAATACCCCTGGAGTAGCCTATTCACTTAACACTTTCTAGTCAATATTATTATTTCTAGTCAATATTATTTTTAGCACACAATACCAAATTTACAAACAAAATTAACAAACTTGCAAAAGTTGTTATATTACAATTTTAATTTTCAAAATATTAATTATAATATTTTATTTAAATCAAAAATATTTACATATGACGGAGGCACAAAAAATATAATAGAAAAGATTGTGTTCTTTCGGCCGTGCACATTTTTATAGCTACCCTTGAAAACTCGTTTTTTCTCATTCAAGTGTATACCTTCTTGACAATGCATTATATAATAAAAGGAAAGTAAATTAAACTATACAACATGTAAGTACAATGTCAAAAGGTGTCCATTGATTTAGTCAAATAGCGATTTTTCGGATCACGGACAGCTATGCATGACACGTCCAACGCAGAATCAGTGATTAAATCACTTAATCAGTCTACCGGAACTCTCAAAATATATAGTTGGCAATGTTGGCATTATTTATATTTCTGCTTTATTAAAATTTATTTCAATCTGAAAATCAATGATTCCTTTGGAAAATCAAAGTATCGGTATAAACAATTTGTCAAGATGAATAGAAATTGAACAGAAACTGATAATGCTACGGGTGGAAAAGTGAGCGAGAAGTCACGTGACGTAAACAAAGCTCAGTATCGGCAGTTTATAACAGTATTTATTCATCATTTTAAGCAATAAAATATCGTAAATAACATCAAAAGGAAAACTCCTAGCCGATAAAATATAAGATTTTTATCACAATAAAAACGATCAGTTCCGGAAAAAACTGAAGAATTCTGACTGTCTGATGAAGAAATCTGAATACTTGACGCATGCGCAGATGTCACAAAACGCCAGATATAGACATCGCTTTATTTACAATTTGCAAGGAAGGAAAATAATCAAAAGAATTTCCGTTTTTTGTCATAATTATGGTCTTGATTTTGCGTAGAAGATATCATGTTATTCAGTAACAATAAGCGAAAAAATGTTCCACGCATTTATTTTCGTGTGACATATTTTGCAACACGCAGTCTACAAAATCAACACGCATTTTGCGTGTTTGCGTCCGTCAAATTCGATCCCTGATATAGGTATTATATAATTAGAATTAGAGATATTATAAAAGTTATTTCTGTAAAGATATGAGTACCGGTATAGAATTAAATATATAGTATAATAATATAATACAGTGTAATGTTTGATGTATTTTAAAGTGTATTTTATGTATTATAAATTAAATTATTAAATGTCATTGATATTAATTCAATGTATGTATATTTTTACAGGGTTTTTTAATAAAGATTTAAACAGCCTCGTCTTTTGATTGAATTAGACCCGGTTACACTAGGTTATATGGGATGTTTCCTTTTGTACGAGATGGGTGACAAGAGTTAAAATTTAGATATTGATGTGTATCGGTTTTTTTGTGACGTCATTAGACTATTGTTAATTGAATTATTGTTTAATAAATGCCTGAAGAGCTGCTATCGGGGTGAAAATTTTAGCATAAAAATGTAGTTTTATTTTGCCATCTTTAATTTCAATTATATATTACCAAAGAGCAGCTTTAATTAATGTGTGGCAAAATATACCAGCAAAAAGGACTGCTCATAAAATTCTCAAAATTTTAATCTGACATTGTTGAATAAATGAAAACACACCAAGCATGAAAAGCGAGAGCTATATTAATGAAATCATCCATAAACAATTAACAAAATTCTAGACACTATAACTAGTTGTTGAGTAGATATGTTAAAAACATCGTTCTACTTCTTTATGTAATAATTTAAACCATTAAAACGAAATAAAGCTATGATGCCATCATGGCCTCAATGTTCATGGATACAAAGAATTTATTCTTCATTTGATAATAACGATGGCAGCAGGTAATCAGTAGAAAGTAATGTGAACTTTAGTTGACCATAACTTGAGTCAGGAATAGGAGGTATAATCTGGAATACTGTGTCCTTAATGTATGCATGCTGTTTAAAGAGTAAACTTTAGACCAATTAACCCTTGTCGGTGCACGTGGGGTCTCCGTGGACCCCATGCACATGTTTTATAGTGTTTTGTAATAACTACTGGGCACTGCTTTCTTAAATTTAGTGACTTTGTCTACTATACATTTTTATACGTAGCGAAGAGTTCGGTATTCATCTGCTTCCCACATGCAGAGTTCTGTTACATGCAAATCAGGCCCAACGCTTGAAGGGAACAAGGGGTCCAATCGGACCCCTAACTTACAACTCACAGTAGGGATTTCGCTAATGGTTTTGCTGCCTGATACCATATTGCGTATGCCAGAGTATTCTCTCTTTTAACATCTGCATGTTACAAATACCAAAAATTAAATGATGAATTCCAAATATTCAATGGTTTTTGTATCAAGCGCGAATTGCCATTTAACCTCTTTATCACATAGTACACAAAGTAGCCATTTTGTGAGAATTATTAATTCTTTTCCAAATGTCACTAAAATGTTTTTGTATAATAATTTAGCTGTTTTTCAGTTGTCAAATATGAATACAAATAAAAACTAAACCGCTGCCTTTTAATTCAAATATACCTGTACGTAAAAACTTTGAATTATACTGGGGTCCATATGGACCCCTTGATACCTGTTATGTGATTCTCACAACATGCACCGACAAGGGTTAATGTGCCTTTTCATACATAACTACTTACTGGTTTGTTATTCAATATTCCATTTCCTTTTAAAGTAGGTTGCTGTTGAGAAGCAGATTTTCTAACAGGAGAACTTCCCACTCTCTGCACTGGGGCGTCTACAAAATTATACACATAATATTGTTCAGATTATCACAAAATATTTGTAGTACAACTGATGTTTCTTATCTACATACAATAACACTGATGACATTGAAACTGCAGTTTATCAAGCAATATCTTCAATTGCACATGATCAAATACATCTTTAATGTCATCTCCAGGAATACTCAAAAGTAAATTCTGAAATACTCAGAGGATATTACAGTACATCTACATCTTACTGGTTGCATATTTCACCAATATTTCATTATACATCCCTAAATATCTATGGACTTTGAATCATATACTATGCAGAAATATCTAATCTGAACAACAATTTTGACTGAATATTACAAAACAGTTGATATTAAATAAAAATTGTTCTTATTAATAGATATAAATAACTACCCATAATGACATCAGGTCTAGATTGTGATCTAGTTGGTGTTCTATATGAAGCTACACCACCCTGTGTGTATGATTTAACACCATTATCATGTGTAAAAACAACAGGATTGGTGCCATGTGGGTGTGTAGGTACAGCAGGACTGGTTCCATGTGGATGTTTCTGTGGCACCAGACTAGGTGGTTGCTGCTTTTCTCTGTGTATAAAATATGAATATAAAAAGTCAATATGGCAGAACAAATAGATCCTTTTGATAAATAGCCAATCAGCTCGAGTTAGTGACTATCTTCAGCTAAATAAATGAGCTCCTGGCATTTAACCTTAACTCTGGAAATATTAGAGATAAACCCAAATGCAACGTTGTAGTGCCCACAACAAAGTAGAACACCTGGCATCACTTCCTATTTAAAAAAGATTTCTAAAGTGCAAGCTAGTAGTACACCAGGAATTTCATTATAAGAACTTGACATTCTAGTATGTAGCACAATGCTGAAATCCTTATATCATTTTTAAAGATTCATACCTTCTTAAATAAACTGGATCTTGTTTTGTCTCTAGAGGCAATTCTGTCAGATTTTCTTCTTCCCCTAAAAAAATAAAATACCAACTTACAACTTAAAGGAGCTAATATAAGAATATTGATGGCGAGATTTGTGCTACATCACTGAGAATAGAAGACAAGTCCGTGGTTCCCCCTCGACAGTGAAGCAGGATCGACAGCGCCTTCAATCAAACCATCAATCAAAGGTCAATATGTGAAATTGCGCGTTTAATCAAATGAAACAATGTCTAAAATGATTATAAAATACCCATCAAATTCTACCTGTTTATGACATATGGTTGGTAGACCAAATAAGGTAATTTCCCCCCCCCCCCTGGTCTTGGGAAATGGGGAGGTTTATTCCATTTTTTGGAAGGAAATTAATGTCAAGGTCAATCTAAGAATTGCAGAAATTAGGGGGTCATAAAAGAGGGTGTTGAATGAGACTGATCAGAGCTTACCCAGGTATTCCGAGCCTCTATCATTTATTGAGATCGAGGGACCTTCGAGGCCAATCAGCTTAATGATAAGGCTGCAGAAACCATTTAACCTGTAGTTTTATACTAGGATCACGACGAAAACACAACAAGGAAGTCCAATATTACTACAAAGTCTCGAAAAATGATTATATCGGGCGTATGTGTTTCTTTGATATGTTAGATCACGGGAGAATTCTGTAATTCCATAAAAACGGCTATTATAAATTACAAGTTCTGGAATGAGGATCGTTGGATTGTATGGGATGTAAATTTAGTGAAAAGTTATAAAGTAATTTTAGTTTAAATATATCATTTGTGCGGGAATTACCACTGTTCGCTTGGTTGTGCCGTATTATTTATCAATATGGAGATTTCTGTTTTATGGATATTGCTATTGAAGGTAAGATGCACTATTTACGCATCGTGGCACCTTTTTATAAATTTAATAAATGTGAAACAGTGAGTGCGCGTCTTTTTAGTAATGAAGCAGAAATATATTTCAGTTCTTTTTGCTGGATACACTCTCTATCTTCCCATGGATATTCAAATTGGGTGTTGACTGCTCTGTATTTATAAAAGACGACATTACATTCACCTTTCCATATACGATGGATTAAGGTCCATATTTTCATTTCATTAAATGCAACTTTGTACACAATACAAAAGACACATAAGAGAAACGTAGATCGTAGCGAGCACACAAGCCTATCTAAAGACCTGTCTTTAATTATACAAAGACCTGCGTAAAACACACGGTCGAATGATAAATCGCACTGAAAAAACAGTTTTACTTCACAAATTTTCATTTAACACATACGTGTCAGATAAAGCCTGTTGATCCTTGATTATACTCCTTTTGGTGCGGTTATCGCAACTAGCGAGAAAACACGCGAATTAAACAATACACAACATTGACATTCATTTTTTACCGGTTGGTTAATTAACACACCTCTACCGAAAACGCACCGTCGCACAGTTTTTCATCCCTAGCATTAATTAATTCACCTCTCAGACAGTTTTTCACCCTTGTTAATTAACATACCTTATTTACAATTTTAACGCGGTAATACCGAGTAATAGCCGGAAAATTAATTTTCTTTCGACACACATACAAATAACAAATGCGACAAAGAATTATATAAGGGCTGTGCACAGATTGACCCCTTAGCAGTTCTCAGTGTATGAATACTTATAATCCTATAGATTTTGGTATGGTCATTGTAAGGGTTTCAAGCAGGGCTTCCACTTCAAAATTTTCACTACTGGTCATTTTTGATAACGCACGAAAACTTTGCAAAGTAAATTCATATTTCATGTTTTTTATTCAGGATATTGTGGATTCACGTGTCTATACAACTTTGTCAGCATGGGGTACACAAAAAATTATACATTGGACTTAAAAATGAAATATTAATAAGGCTTATGATAATTATTTATTAATTAAATATTCCCTTTTGGCTACTTAAATAATCGAAATAGCTGAATTGGCCGTAGAAAAACCATTCCAGTGGCTGACACGTAATTACCACATGCTCTATAGAAAACGCATTGACCTGGATAATTATGAGTTGCGATACAATAACTTCGATATGAAGATAAATATATAATTATCGACAGCATATATCCCCCATTTATTGGTTTTAGACCATCTCTTAAGGCATTACGGACCGCAGAATTGTGAAGTAAATCTTAATAATGAATAACTAAAGGATAACTAACTTCACAGCTAGCTACACTAGTACCTGTATAATATCGTCGTGTATAAGAGAGTTACCATATATACCCACAATTTTTGTAACAATAGCACTGGAATACGTAATGTTCTTAATTTTTCGGTAATCAAGTTAACTATCTCTAGATTTTATTTCTACAATTCCCACAATAGTCGAGTAAAGATAAGCCATATGGAGTGGACACCTAGAACAAATTGCAACAGATAGGTTTTCGAGTAATTAGCATAAATCCAATATGGCCATCATTGGCACCTTAAAACTCCAATATCTCGGAAAAAGTTGACTTTGGAGGGTGTAAATGTATTACGAGTAGATAGGAAAGTGCTACTAAAGAACTAGAAAAAAACTGTCAGACGACCTCCTTGTGACGTCATAATGTCATACAGCCAAAAATTAGCATAAATCCAATATGGCCGCCATTGGCACTTTAAAACTCCACTATATCGGGAATGGATGAGTTTGGAGGGTATAAATGTATTACGGGGAGATAGGAAAGTGCTACCTAAGAATCAAAAAAACATTGCTATATTACATCACCAGGACGTCGTAACGTCATACGTCCAATAATTAGTCTAAATCCAATATGGCTGCCATTGGAACCATAAACATCCAGTTTCTCGCGGATGGTTGAGTTTAGAGGGTGAAAATGTATTACTTGTATCATCTTGTCAAACAATTCATATATTTCTTGAATATCTATATACATGTCATCAGTTTGTAAAGGTTTTAACAGGAATATTTTACTTAGTTACTGATAGACCTGGATTTCAATTATGGACTGTACAATTCTTCTGCTAACAATTCTTCTTTATTGACGATTGCAGGGACTGTAGTATCATGTATGCAATTGGTTCAGGTTCATGCGAATCGTTGACTATGAATTTCAATCTTTAAGTTAGCGTCGGGTGAATTAGTTAAGCCTGGGGGAAAAAATTGGGATTTTTGAAAGAATTTGATTGTAAATTATTGTAATTTAGCTAGGCTTACCTAATTTCGTTTCATCTTATATGACCGAGTTCGTAAATTTGTGCATTACCCTTGCAATGAAGTCCGCCTAGTCGGCTAGAAGACAGACGTATTTTTTTAACAGTGTGTTGTGTCGCTCATACTGACTCTAGCGAGGTAGGCAAGGTCTTATTTTCTCACTAAGATGTTCATTTATATTGTTCAGGCGTTCACAGAGACTGACACACGACCGTTTAGCAGTAAAAAGTTGCCCAGTAAAATTGACTGGGAAGCCATTGGAATTTCGACAAGGATTCAATAGGAGAGTTCCTGAACGTAGAGGCCGAGTGTAATGAGACCTACGTTCAGAGCTGAACTATGTAGGAATTAGCCCCTTTCAAGACGATATAACTCAAGAAAAGTAAGTACCATAGTAAGTTTGATTGGATAGATGAGTTAAATTACAACTTTACAGTAGTATACATAGTACATAAATACGTAGGCTAATTTATCTCTCTATAAATTAGAGCACTGTCAAGAAGCACATTTTCATTCTGACATACTCTTTTCTGAAAAATACCAGAACCCTTACCCTAAAATGTGGAAAAATTTGAAGCATGTTAAGTAGCCATTTTTTTTACTATAGAATCAAATAAAGTGTTGTAAAAATTAAAAATGTCTGGAACAATTTTGATGTCTTGAATTTACTATCTTTATAGGGCCAGACTCGATGATAAAGGCAAAACGAGGCAAAAATGACCACTAGACCAGGATGGTCCTCGAAAGATTGCAGGCACAGTTGCAAAACCCCAGCCAGAACCAACTTCAGAGACAGCCAAGAAACAGAAAACCAGATTTTAATGTAAGTATTTTCATAATAATCGCCTTGGATTAAAACCCATGCCATTTCTGTCTTGAAACGATAATCATATTTTCAGAACACAAATGGAGGGTACTACTACTCTATTCCCTGTACCACCACATAACAAATTGTCTGTAGGCTGCATGTCTTCTCCTTCGATTAATGTCTTCGTCCATATCAATTGCTAGTACACCGTTTCTATATACATTAGCAAGATCCAGAACTTGTGGCTCTAAACAATACTGAAAAAATTAAATTAAAGATACATTATGCGAGATTAGATAACGAGTTGGCAGTTCTCACTATAATAGTTAAAAACTAGATAATGTAAAGGCAATTAGCTGAAAATTTCAGTCAAATTGATCCACTATGAACCGAGAAATAAGTGATCGAAAGTTCCGCATAGCCCCGGTCATCATTACTAAAGTCTCGATTATCCATTTAATCGTTAAATTGAGAAGGAAAGTTATGCAGGAAATCGGATCATAATACAACAAATATCGCAGGCTAGCGTTGACATCGAGAGTTGATTATGGTCAGGATACGTTAATTAATGTCTAATTAATAGTTTGTATAACATTTCAGGCCTAAAGAAAGACCTACAATAGGCATATTTAGCTCTTGCATAATAACTATTTTTAAAATCTATTTTCAGTAAACCAGCCCATTTAAAGTGACTGAAATGAAGGCTGCAGAACTTCCTGCTGCCGGTACTACCCAGGCCAATGACATTAATTTTTGTGGATGAAATATATCAAAGGATATTATTACAGAAAAAAATCACTTACTGGTCGTAATGAAATACAATTCTCTGGTCTGGTACCGCAACATAACTTCTCAATATCTGTTGGCATATCTCCACATCTGTCATAGGAACACCAATCTGGTGCAGTTGAGGTTGGATATGGGGGTTGGATTGGCTGTTGGTTTCTTAGTTCTTCAGATATGTCAAATAAAACTGCAGGCATTTTTTTAGCCACAGACAAAAAAAGTATCCTACATCCATCCACTTACCAGTTTCTGAAAT